TGTCCTTAATGGCTCATATGTTGATTCTAGTTAATTAATGAGTGTTATGCGTTATATCCTATAAACACATGCAACAATCACTTTGGATATTGATGGACATCGATCGGTGAAAAGTCACTTGATAATCTATGACTCGATGAGAAAACCACAACAAGACTACCAAGATATGATAGATATTATCCGGAGGTAATTTCGGGATCTCTAGCAACTATATATACACACAAACATGATGATTAACTATATCTCGATGACGTGGCAAATTTTTTATTAGGCGGTGTTTGGAAAACCTTTATTGAGAAGCAACACATGGAAAAATGCAAAGCGCCACTTGAATGTAATCCTTTGAAAGTAAGTCCCACAATCGCATCATCTTTATTAATTAAACATATAGCTTTCACGGATCACCAGATTGGATGACAAATCTTTTTCTCGTAAAGTGGTGTCTAAAGCGAGAACAGGGAACAACTACATGGTTACTATGTTTGCAAGTTTATCAAGGTGCTCTCCCAAAGAACTCCTACAGAGAGACTCAAAATGCGTTAAAAATACACTATATATTCATTTAATTATTATTATTGATTGTGTTACTATGTCTTTATATATATATGTACATATATTAATTTATTTTCCTTTTAATTCAAACACCAGAGACTCGATGGTTGGAGGAAAAGGTCATACGGCAAGACCAAATCAAAGCAATTCAAGAGTCTATAGCCGGATTTTTTAATGAGCAGGTCATCGATTCCAAGGGCGAGTTCTACTTGACCCAACACCGCCATTGAAGCCAAGCTAGAGGATGAGAAAAACTTGTTATGTCACAACAACTGTAATGCAATCTTTTGTAATATATGCACATGAAATAATATAATGTAAAATACACATATGCATGCATGCATGTAAATATATATATGATGCATGCATTCATATATATATATATATATATATATTTCTATGCTTGAATTGTGTGATTTAATACGTTCATTGTGCTTGAACCGAAACATACTATATGCGCGTATAAATGTATAATTAGCAGCGTACAATACGACTTCGAAAACCTATTTTGAAAAGAAAACAAAAAAATGAAAAGAAAAGAAAAAAGAAAAAAAAACCTTTAGTCCCGGTTCGTATTACCAACCGGGACTAAAGGTGCCGGCCATCGTGGCATGTCAGGAGACACCTTTAGTCCCGGTTGATGTTACCCACCGGGACTAAAGGTCCTCCTTTAGTCCCGGTTCCTGACCCGGGACTAAAGGACCCCTCCTTTAGTCCCGGATGCTTGCTCCCGGGTGGGGAACCGGGACTAGAGGGGGTTCCCCACCGGGAGTAAAGCTCGGTTCTCTACCAGTGCCATCAATGTTTGACAAAGCTTACGTTATCCATCTCCGGGAGATGTGCCAACTATTTTAGTCATGTTAGTGGGCAATGCTTTGTTAAAACAGCTCTTATTAGTTTAGTTGGTTGCAGTTAGCTTTTGTTTTATTCCTTTAATTTGCTTCTTTAGATTAGCTGGAAGTGGAGGCATGAGCATGACAGTATCTTTATTTGCTTGGGTTTGCCTTTGTTGTATTTTGCAAGAGTGCCATGCCGTATTTGTCATGGACCACAAGATCGCGAGGTCACGCATGCACGGATTAGTTTTTTTTCTATCTCCTCTAAACTTTTTCATGTTTATGCATGCCTTCTGAAGATTATATTCGCACACAACACCGTACATGTAGCAGGTGTAAGTGTAAGTCTGAGTGATATTAAGATGCAGTATTATTCAATAGCACAGAAGCGGTTTTAATTTACGGCAGCAGGGATATATAGATTTAATTTTCCTTAAAATTTGCAAATCACTCTACTCAGTAAATTAAAGTGAAGGATAATGAATGTATCTTTAAGATGAGTACTACCAATCTTATTAGTAAATATTTTGTCTAGTTAAGATTACCAAATGTAGGGGCTGTGAAGGTGGATTAATTATTTAATCTGACGAAAGATGCTGTGTAGTGGAATCTTGTGCCGCAAAGTTTCTTAATCTTATAACACATAAACAAACAAATGTATGCTAGCTTCAGGTCACAAGACATGCATCATCCTTTTGTTTTTGTACAGAGATCTAACATAAAAAGCATACATGTAGTTTATACGTACTTTGCCTAGAATTATTAAAACAGTGCCTACTACTTCTAGCCCGCAAAATCTTATTGTTCTCCGTTGGCATGACCTCAAATCGTCTGTCCTTGCGTAAGACTAACTCTGAAACAGTCTTAGTAGGTCTTGCTAAGTACTGACTGTCTAGCCTGTGGCTGCGCTGCTCCATGTTTGTGAGTTGTTAAAAATGACATAATGAGAACAAGTAAACTACCATCGATCATCATATAGAGCAAATAAACCCTATCATTTTTAATTTATTGCCACTAGTTTGGGCATCCCGAGGATAAGTGAGTGATTGAAGGCCTTTGACAGTTATTTATGGGTATATATTTTGACAAGAGAAAAAGGTACATATATGAGATCTTTACATATATATAGATTGAAGGCCTTTGACAGTGATTGAAGGCCTTTGACAGTTATATTAAGCACAACAGGAGGGAAAAAAGAATCTTAGTTTAATTATGCAACCAGCACACAGCAGCAGGAACATGTGCAAGCATGGTATGGTACAGCGCGCAAAATATATAGATAAATTATGTTTCATAACTCCTGTGGATAAAGAGAGTATTCATTTTTTAATAAAAAAACACGATCTGTGGGGCAAGGCAGTCTTCAAGCATTGTGTGATAGGAAAGACCTTCTCCCCAACCCCTGCCCCACCTTTACACAGCGGCACCGTTGCCCTTGTAAGAGCGACCAACGACTTAGGTCAGGCCTTAGACCTGTGTTTTGGCATGTGACATTATCAATGCTCTATTCGGAGCAAGGAAATTAACTTCTGCTCTTCTGTCACAAATGTAAGCATTCCTGAGTTTGTGATATGTCAAGCTATTTTAAATTTTGACTAAATTAAGTTATTATGTGCATGCTTGCCCTGCTCTTTCTTGGAGATTAAGAGGGTTTTTTTTGTAGGGGGAGGGGGTCACATGATCAATACCACTACTTGAAGGACGCCTATGATTTATACCACCAAACTAGTCAATGACATGTAGAGTTTGTCCTACATGTCATTAATATATGCTGATATGATGGTATATAGCTGATAAGTGTACCTCAAATTAATGATGGTCAAGATGAAAACATTACAGAAACAAAAGAAATTAGGAAATAACAAAAAAATATTAAAGGCCAACATAGTACGTATAAATTATGTTGTAGCTAATAATTAATTAGCAAATCCATAAGAAGCTAACCAGTTAGAAAGAGACCATGCCCGCATGTGTCCTTTGTTTGGAACTTTGGATTGTGGTCATATGACAACCTTACATATATCATGCAAGTGACAAGCAAACGAAACAACAATATTCGTTGTACGGATAGCATCACTGCAATCAACTTGTCAAGTAGGACGATGACTTCTCTCCAGCCTCATATGTGTTCTATTTTTTCATTAAAAGTTGCATTGTGGCATGATATCATTATTAATTCAAAAAAGGTACATACTTGGAAAGAAACAACATATATAACACATGGATTTTATTCTAGTTTTGAGAAACAAACATTCCCCGTCAGATGATTAGACAATTAAAATTTTAAACAACAAATAGTAAAAGGTTCTTGCCTGCAGGCCAAATCTATTACTCCCTTCTTCTAAAAAATAATTAAATGCAACACTCCACAAAAGATAGAGCCACACAATTATTCATGTGAAGAACAATAGCGATGTCAACGCACATTTGTTCAATTATTATTGGGCAGGAAAGTTACAAGCGGAACACTTTGTGATTGGCCAAAGAATAGCAACAGGAATTGAAGGCAAAGGGCAAACTGTTTTTGTTTAGTTGTGATGTTGGAGTTTTGAGAAAAAGACATGCACCCTAGCAGCCTTCCGCACACATCTCGACACAAAAAACCCTAATCAATCTGGCCCAATCCTCATTACCATCCACAACAAAGCTAAGGCCACCCAACCTTATCACTTTCTAATTCAGGACCAACATCACACCAGCAATTTTAAAGGATGGTGGATCGGAACGGCAGGACATCATATCGAAAATGTTTTAGTGCAAGTGCTTCTGCTCGTAGCTAGATGAAAAGAGTCGTGTGGGCATAATGGCCATTTCAAATAAGAATGACGCTGCATATCGACACACTAGATTCTTTCCTGTTGTCCATTTAAACAATGCCCATATACCAATTCTCACCCATGACAGTAGAGATAGAACTTTTATAGGTTATTTTTTACATAACAATCCTTAACACACCAAACAGCGCACCACCGGCTCGACTGGGTCCAGCCTAAAATATGCACGGCCTCAAAGAAAAAGAAATTTCTGTGAAGTAAACATCTAGCCTGTAACTTGCATATAATATACAGTCTCTTTTGAATTCACATGGCATGTTGGGGACCAGTAGGCAGTCAAAATAAAAAATAAAACCAAATAACCCGGTGGAGGAACATGCAGGGAAATGGGGTGAGAAGAGGGGAGTGCTCCTTGCAGAAAGGCCAAGTAGATTACATATTATACGTGGCACCAAAGTCTCTCTCTCTCTCTCTCTCTCTCTCTCTCTCTCCCCCCCCCATCCATCTATCAAGTCTTCCTGCTTACATGTCCACCTTTCTTATACCCACTTGTACCTTGCTGCCCTCCTCAAAGTTCAGACCAAGCTGTGCTCTTCTTCTCCTCCTTGATCTCTCCAAGCTCTCTCCCTCTCTCAACACATACCAAACTTCCACTTCACACCAGACCTAGCTACTAGACAGAGGGAGAGAAACCCATGTAAAGAGAGAAAGAGACTTGTATGTTGTGAGCTATAGCATATGATGCTTCTCTAGCTCCACACAAATAATTACTCGACAGCAAGTGAAAAAAAGTTCTCTCGTCAAAGGTAATTATCTCTGCATCTAGATCTGCTCAGATATGCACATACATACATCAAATCTTTTTCTTTTACTTGGTAGTAGTTTAATTCCTGCTGTATTTCTTGTCTTGTCGATCGATCGTGCTACAGATAAGCTGATTGATCTCTGTGTTTTGCATGTTGGTTCAGCCGTCAAGCTGGCGAACCGGTGGTGGAGCGTGCCCGGTCACTTGGGCCTGCCGGAGCAGCCGTCCGGCTCGTCGGGCCCCAAGACGGAGCCCCCGGCCGTCAAAGACCCGGAGCCCAGCCCGGCAGGGGGCGCGCCGGGGGACCACGCCGATGAGACCAACGAGTCCGGCGGCGGGGAGCCACGCGAGGGTGCCGTGGTGGCAGCGCCCAACCGGCGGCCCCGGGGGCGCCCGCCGGGCTCCAAGAACAAGCCGAAGCCGCCCATCTTCGTGACGCGCGACAGCCCCAACGCGCTGCGCAGCCACGTGCTGGAGGTGGCGGGCGGCGCCGACGTGGCGGACGCCATCGCGCAGTTCTCGCGCCGCCGCCAGCGCGGTGTCTGCGTGCTCAGCGGCGCCGGGACCGTCGCCAACGTGGCGCTGCGCCAGCCGTCCGCGCCCACGGCCGTGGTCGCGCTCCACGGCCGCTTCGAGATCCTCTCTCTCACCGGCACCTTCCTGCCGGGACCCGCGCCGCCGGGGTCCACGGGGCTCACCGTGTACCTGGCCGGCGGCCAGGGGCAGGTGGTTGGCGGCAGCGTCGTCGGCACCCTCATCGCCGCCGGGCCGGTCATGGTGATCGCGTCCACGTTCGCCAACGCCACCTACGAGCGCCTTCCGCTCGAAGAGGAGGAGGAAGGTCCAGCTCCACCAATGGCGCCCGGCGGCGCCGACCCGCTCATGGGCGGCGGCCACGGCATCGCCGACCCGTCGGCGCTGCCGATGTTCAACTTGCCGCCGAGCAACGGGCAGCTTGGAGGGGGCGACGGCTTCCCAACATGGGCGCACCCGCGGCTACCGTACTGATCTCCATCGATGCCAAGGTCGAGAAGTTGCTAGAGTAATGGGGAATGGTGGCACCGGCGGCGTGCGTGCATGGTCGTTACTGTTCCATTGGAGACGAAGACGACGGAGTGGCGTCATTAGGTTAGTACATATGATGAAGTGGCCATTAGAGTACTGTGGTTCCTAGTACTACTTTGTCGTCGTCGTGAAATAATCAAATATTGGAGTGTTTATTTGTACTTAATTCAGCTATATTTCTTATCAGCTTGGATGTGCTGTTGTAGCATCATGCAATGTTTGGCTTTCAGATAAGTTTAGAGTGTCTCTCTGCAACTTGTGTGTCCTTAAATCTCTCTTGTTTAATCACTTTGAATTCGATCATTTGTGTTTTGCAACTTGTTGTATGCGTGCATGTGTTCCTAGATCTTAGCGCAGCGGGTCTTTGCATTTCGTTCTCTTTTAAGTTCTTTAGTAACATATATAAAGTGTCAGGGGTCCCAAATCAGGTATCATCTCTAGCAAATGCTCTTCTTGGTTGTCCCTCACCTCCTCCCTCTAACATAATTGTCTCCTTGGAGTTTGGATAGGAATATTAGGATCACCAGGATTTAGTTCAAAATCCTACAAGCTGTATACTTTCTTCTTTTGAAACAAGTTGTATAACCGCTCTGTTCCAAATTATAAGTTGTTTTGGTTTTTATATGTCTCTAGACATAGTGTACATCTAGGTGTATAGCAAAAACTACATATTTAAAGAAAATCAAAACGACTTACAGTTTGGAACATAAAGAGTACGTACTTATTGTAGAGAAATCCAGTCCTCCCTATCGAAGAAGGCTGTAACTGAATCTGGTAGGGGAAAAAAAGCACAGTGTAATGCCAAGCTTGTTTGAGTATAGCAGAAGAACTCGGCAGATGAGATCGAGAGGTGATGCCGCTAGTTAGGGAGGTCTGATCTACTGCTATAATGTTAAATACCACTCGTCTTCACAATGTTTCGATATATTGCATTGCAACAACTTTCACACAACTGCACTCTGCATTAGAGCGTTACGTAAACAGTGAGCCATTTTCTTAACCCTGCTTGGATATAAAAAAACTGAAAATAAAATATGCATGATTAGTATATACTAGCTAGGTTAGGATCGGAGACACATGCATGTGCATCAGTATAGATATTTCATGTTCTGTCGTTGATGCCTGCTCATCTCTGAAGAAAATGTTCTTGTGCATGACGGTATATGCGCTAGCTATATATTTGCATGCTCAGATGTATGTTGTTGAGGCATGAAGTTCAGGTTTAAAATTTGATTTGTGTGAGCAACTGAACTATACTGTTGCATTTCCTATTGCTGCATGCGCGTGCATAGTTACTACTGTGCAGTGGAATTGTAGTAATTATTGTATTGTAAAACTAAACTTGTGTGTGTTATTTCTCAAAAGGCAACGAGGCATATATAGCTACACTATGTGCGCCTTTCACTTTTAATTTGACAATAACTATATATAGCTCTGTAGTGTACTGTTTGTCGACCAAAAGCTGTGTATAGGGTGCAGTGTGCAACATTCGCATGTCTTGATATTTATCATCGTTTCGCACTCCCCCATCTGGCATTTTTTCCCAACAAGGAAAACGGTTTTTAGGCTGCAAAGTATATGTTTGAAGTTATAGAGAAATATATATATGGTTTCCAAAAGCTACCGGGTGTTTGATACAATAAATCTTATAGACTCTAGAAGACAAACTATGGTTTTATCAAAATTGTAGTCTTTTGGAGTTTTAGAAACTCCACTGGTGACCTCTTTTTTCCTAAACCAAAATTTGTATCTCTTTGATTTATAAAACCACAGTTTTGTAATACTATAGTTTTTGAAAACCACATCATCCAAATAGGCCATTACTCCGTTAGCATGTGCTATTTTCATGGATACATAATTACTAGTTATATATATAGTAGTGTTTCCACAAATGAATATATATATATATATATATATATATATATATATATATATATATATATATATATATATATATATATATATATATGTGTGTGTGTGTGTGTGTGTGTGTGTGTGTGTGTGTGATACAACCCGGCCTAATATACTCTCTTCATTCCAAATTATAATATATTTTAGATTATATACACACATAGTTTTTTATATATCTAGACATAGCGTATATTTAAGTGTATAGCAAAAGCTATGTACTTATAAAAACCAAAATGACTTATAATAATTTGGAATGGAGGGAGAGTATGTTTGTTTAACTTGTCGGCCTTGAAGTTTTGAGTTTCCCCTCCCATCATCCTAATTTAATTTGGAATTTGCTTAGTTGAGGAAGGAATACATGTTATTGCCATCTGTTTTTCAGTAACAACTAGCACAAAACTAATTATGTAAACATGCATGAAACTCTTTTCCTATAAGAACTGGCCCTCTCTGAACTTTTGTTCAACCTAGGCTGCAAGCTCCGGCACTGTTTTCCTCTCTCACTGCTGATCAGCACTGGGATTACATCCTACTACTACAGCCTCATAGTCATAGCTTCTTTTTCACGGAGATTAATCATACTACTATACATACAGAGCACATCTATACGCGCGTCCAGACTATTAATAAATAATAATATAATGTAATTAGCATGTGCATGCAGTTTTCCATGTTTTTTTTATATAACAGAAGCTTTTCTATATTTTTCTCAAGTGCAATACATAGAGTTTTGATACAAAGTCTCGAAAAAACTACTACTTCTGGTTTCTACTTGACATGAAGCCGTGCAAAAAACCATGTCCCTAGAGCTGATATATAGTACTATAAAACAGCCAGTCGTGAGGGATGCTTCAACTGCTGCGTAAAGAAAAATAGGTTAGCGGGGGTCTCCTACTTAGGTATAGCAGATAGGAGATAGGAGATTTATGTCTGTAGCATGTGATTACGTGTGTGTAGTGGAATTTGAATTAATTTGACAAGTAATTGAAGTTGCTCCATACATATGTGTGCGTAAAAGTAACATAATAAAGATCGCAAGCAAGTAAGCTTCGTCATTTAGTTTTAGCTAGCTAGTGTCTATCAATCGATATTAGTCTTTGACCTTGCACATACGACGGGATTGGACGTCTAGTTTTACTTGCCTTATCTTATTTTTAACCAAAATTTCTAAAAGCTAAACTCGATGGCGAAATGTGTGTGCAAACGTAAGCGATTGATATGTACTAGCAATAAGAAAGGTAAGTGAATAAGATTAGGCCGGCAAACAGAGCTTATCATCAGTGCATGCACACACATCAAACATATAGGAGCACGAGCATATATATGGATAGGTAAGGGGACAAACAGTTAAGTAAACTGAATTGAAATGAAGTAGCTGCTAGTTCTGAGTTCAATGAAGAAGTAAACTTTGCACTCGCTATTTTTATTGCCCATATAGTACTATGTGCATGCATAAACTGAAGTTCTCTCAATCTCATTGCTCCTGATGGATGTGTTTAAGATCTCGAAGATTCAAGTGGCCTTCGATCTGTTGCATTAGTTAACCTAATTGTCTTTAATATAGATCTAGCTAACTTGATGAAGACACGTATATAGCATAGTGGTGTCAGCAAAATTAAGCTAATGGAGATAGGCCCTAGCTTAATTAGTTGGCTGAGACTGGAATAGTGAAGCCACGATGCTGCTGCTGCTGCTGAGAGACCGCATGCGCAGGGGGACCATATATGCATTATTAGTTTGTTGTTACTGTATAGAATTGTTGCACCCCCCACTATAGCTCGTTGCATGCATGCGTGTGCCAATGTGTCAAATTGAAGTGTGTACTGTAAGCGCTTGTGTTTATATGTATGTATGATGATGCATGTAATCTAATCGTCCTTTATTTTGCGCAGAAAGTTGCTACATAATATGATAATATACTACCTCCGGTCCCCGGTCCTAAAATATAATAGGATTTTAAGGTGTCAAGTCAAACTATCTTAAGTTTAATTGATTTAAAAAAAATGATATTTATCATCGATATGCTACGAAGTAAATATTTATTTATTTATATCTTTCTAATGTCGTAAATGTTAATATTTTTCTTTATAATCTTGATTAAAATAAGAGTAGTTTGATTTAGGACAAATTCAAATCTACCGTATTTTTTATTTGAAGACATCACCGGAGGGGAGAGACACCCAACTGAATGGATTCCATTGATTTTGGCGGTAGATGGAAGGTGCCGTGGCACCTACCATATTATATTTTTGTCTTTTTTCTACTATACCAAATTTGGCAGTCGCATGGTTCCTCATCTGCCTGCTACTACACCGTCTGATCTGCAGCGTAGAGGCCATCCAGTGTTCTGGCCGTGGCCTGATCAGATAGCAATCCTCTGTTAATTCAGACGTCTGTCTCTAGAAATCGACACTGGTGGTGATAACAAGGACTATTGTGGTGGACTGGTGGTGCATACTGCTGGTATGTATGTGTAAAGAAAACCGATAGATCTAGTGCTTTTTCGGAAACAAGAGAACGTTCAACTTGGGCTCCAGACACCTCTCCAAGTTTGAGAGGGCTCAGTAGATCCGGCTTGGTTACACGTGTCCCCTCTCGCGCGTCTTGACCTAAAGCAGCGTCGCTGCCGCTGCCGCCGCCGCCGCCTTCCACCCCCGCTGGTCTCCCTCCCTTCTCCTCCGGCATCTCGCCGGAGGCCAGAGGGAGTGGGGATCCATCGTTTTCATAAGTTTTTTTTATAGATCGAGTCCTTAGGGTTAGGGTCTCTCCATACCAAATTTATTGGTATTGTGGATTTATCTCCTTCTCCTCCTCTCCGTTGACGGTGAAGGGGAAGGGTGGAATTGTTTTCTCCATGGCGGCTCTGCTGAAGATGAGGGCGACAACTACGGCGTCAGCAATTTCACCGGCTTGACGACACGGTGACCTTTCTTTTCGGACGGCGACATCAAGGTAGAAATGATGTCACCGTTATAGAATAATTTTCTCCGGTCTCTTCTCCGTTTTGATGTGGTTAGATCTGGCCACGATAAAGGACTATAAGACACCGAAAGAAGAAGAAGAAGGAAGACACCAGAAAGAAGAAATTTCTCAACTCCGCCTATATGAATGTTAGCCGTCGTTCGTTAGGCATCTGTTCTCAAGCCTTTTGCTTAGTGTTTGTCTATACGGTCATCCATACTGTAAAGTGTCGTATAGGTTTGGTTTTGAGATCGGGAGCTATTCACAGCGTGGGTACAATTTAGATGAAAATCAATTTCTAGATATTTGTGTAATCCAGAGTTCTTGTAACGTGTTGATGTACCCAGCTATTATCTAATATAATTCTTCTTTCGTCGCAAAAAAAACCAGCTAGCAATCTATCACAGTGAAGCCTGACTCTCTACTCTCCGTAGAAGTCTCCTTGTTAATTAGTCAAGCAAGCTTCTCTTCCTCCCGTTAATCACCAGGCTTTTCCCACTCCTCAGATGCTGTCATGCGAAGACCTCTCCGCAAAGCGCATGCCCCTACCATTTCCTGCACTATTTGTTCAGTCCATCGATCTATCTCCGGTTCCTCCGAATTTGTTGAACTGGCACAGCAAGCATGCATGAGCTGTGAAACGAATTGGAGGAGAACGAGCCTGTTCGGTTGGCTGGTTCGTATCGTTGCTGGTTCGTTAAGAAGTACCGCTGGCTGGTTTGTGTGAGAGAAAAATACTGTTCCGGCTGAAAATTTACGATCGTATATGACAAGCACAAGCCAAACGAACAGCTTTCCATATAACCCCAGCCCTCTCATACATGATACATGGCATGGCTCCCCTCAAAGTTAAAGAAGAGGTACTTCATCTGTTTTACTGTCAAAACCATTTCTATATCGATCAATTAGTAGGATGTTTAATGAGAATCTATCTTAGATCCCGTTTGGATTGACTAAAATAAATTACTAGCTGCAACACAATAAAAAAAAAACTCTAGCTGATAACTCTATACGACTTAGCTTATCGTTTATTTTTGAACTATTCAACCATCCAACTTAATTATAAAAAACTATCAACTTATAAAAACATTAGCTGGTCCTAATGGGCCATTAATGACTCCTTTTCATGTGCCTACTAGCGGGCTGGGCCAAATACCTTGCCATGTTGTGCAGGAAATTGAGAACATTTGTTACAGGTAACCATACAAGAGTTTCTCAAAAAAAAAAAAAAGGTATCCATACAAGAATATATCGGTGTTTTGCACACTTTGATCTACCCCTTTTTACTCCACATACAGGCCTTGATGCTGAGTTTCAAAAAAAAAAAGGCCTTGATGCTGTGACCACACCTTTGACAATTTTTTAGTGGCTTCTGTGTCCATTCGGTTCATCAAAGTGACTACTTCATGCACCTTGAATGCTTCACTTTCGATTGCTAAATCTACCTTGTTAGCATCCAAGCCAAAGAATTGGCTAACCAATGAGCTGACAATTTATTCAGTTGTGTTTTCCTTCCTAATATGCTATTTCAACAACAAACCACTTGATGAAACAACCAGCAGCAAGGTGCCAGCCTGAAATCATCTCCACAAGATAACATTTCAAAACTAATATTGCTTCCCTGATATTTCTGTGCATTCGCGAAACTTTGGGTTTTATCTGAAATTGTTCAATTTCCAACCTTTCTTCTCCATATACCTATACGCGGAACAGACATGTACCTTGAAGGTATTATCATGGGGTACCAGCTAGTTTCACAAAATTTTGAGCACACACGTATTGGCATGTGTACGTTGCTAGTTAGGAGAATCATGCATTGTTTACATGTTCTTTTGGCCGGCGTGTTCTTGATGAGTATTTAATTTAATTTTTACTTGAATGTCATAAATACTTCACCGTGCTACTACGTAGCTTCACACCGACACCACGAGACTTGTTCTGCTCTGCCTGATAATGACATGTCTCTCTCGGGCTCGGCAGCTTCCATCCTCCTCCATGCCTTCGTCCTCACGACCCTTCTCCTCGCCGCCGCCACGGTCTCCACCACGGCATTTGTCCCGGTGGTCGACAACCGGGACGACGTGAACACGACGATGTTTACCAACGGCTCCTCGTTGACGTCTCCTAAAAGTGCCGAAAACTGGGAGATGTACTACTGCTTCCTCTGCACGGGGCGCCACCCGCTGCTCATTCACTACTGCCCCATCTACTGGGACGAGTGCCACCTCAACTGTTGGGATGCCATTCCCGACGCATCAGCACCCCCCGCGCCAGTGCCGCCGTCGTCGTCGGTGGGGTCGGCGGCGGCCCACCCCACGGCCACGGTGCAGGGCAAGGAGTGCTACGTCATGAAGCTGTACATGTCCGGCCGCTACGTCATCGTCGAACGCCTGAGCTGCGATGGCATCGCCGCGTGCTTCCTCACCTGCGGCGGCGGGGAGCTAGACGATCAGAAGGTCGCCATGGGCACCGCCGCCGCCACGGTGCCGGCGACGATGACGGCCGCAATGCAGCAGAGGAGCTTTGTGCCTTTCGAGCTGTGCAACACGCAGGTCAATGCTCTGCGGGCTCCACCATCAGCAGGCGTCGTCGTCCCGGCTGGTGGTGCACATTGACGGTCCTAGCTGCTGTCTAGCTCCGCTCTCATGGATGGATGGATGGATGTGTGTCGCGCGTGTGTGTGTGCGCGCGATGTCTGCATGCGCGAGTGTCGAACTAGTCGCGTACTCGCGTGCTGTAATCTGTGTGGATTCATTCGGTTTTTCATTGGTGAATGTGATGTGTTCCTTCGGTTCATTAAAGTGATTGCTACATACACCTTGAATGCTTCACATCTGATTGCAAATATTGACATCCAAACCAAAGAATTGGCGGCTAACCAGTTCAAGGAGATGACAATTTATTTAGTTGTATTTTCCTTCCTAATATGCTACTTCAAATGCTCCTTGAAGAAACGATAGCTAAGTGCGTGCCAGCCAATCATCTATACAAGATAACATTTCAAGACTAATATTGCTTCGCTGATATTTATGTGCTGTAACGAAACTTTGGGTTTTGTTAGGAGTTGTTCAATTTCCGACCTTTCTTCTCTAAATGCTCAAAACAAACATGTACCGTGAAGGTTTTATCATCCTTTTATATCTTAATCGACAATTGGACACATGCAAGGAATGATATACTATTAGTGCAAATTCCTATTCTTGCTTGCGCCCGCGGCAGTGCGCGGGTACCGGCTAGTTTCACAAAATTTGAACACACAAGTGCTTTTACAAAACGGCTAGTTGAACGTCAAGCGGCGACTTGCCGTTGACGAACCACAGCCCACGACAACACAACAAAATAGAAAGAAAGGCGGTAGGGAGAGACCCTCCAGCACAAACCTAACCAACTGAACTTGCACCGAAAAAAAACATCAACACAAGGCTGTCAACCGAGGAGATGAGGCCGTGGTGGCAAAGCATCCACCGAGAAGAGATGAGACGACGGTGGCAAAGCATCCGCCAGAGTCAGCATGGCGGCGAAGTATCCGCGAGAGGGCATGCCATCACGAACTCGGCAGCAACCGGATGAGGGGGAGCCCGAAGCGACATCGGCGGCAAAGTATCCGCCCAAGCAGCGACGACAGCAGAGCATCCGTCAAAGTAGAGCGACAGCGTCAAAGTATCCACTACGGAGAAACAAACGACAACGGCAACACCAAGGAGGTTGGACAGACCAACGTGAAGAGGAGTTTGAAGCACACACAAGCACAGCCGGAAGGAACGACTCCGGTTAGAGTGGCAGGAGGAGGGCTGCATAAGTGCTCCAGCAATAGCTCCAGGAAAGATATTGACATCCGCAGACGTTAACAACACTGGAAGAAGCACTCGGATATGACTTTCGACCCCAGCTAGTTAGGCGAATCATGCATTGTTTACATGTTCTTTAATTACATGAACGTGTGTTTTTATGAGTATTTAATATTTCCACTGTCACAAAATTTAAACACACAAGTACTGGCATGCGTATGTTGCCAGTTAGGAGAATCATGTATCGTGTACATGTTATTTAGGTCGGCGTGTTCTTGATGAGTGATGAGTATTATTTAAATGAGTAAAGTGCACCGGCGGTCCTTAAACTTGTACCGCGGTGTCATCCTGGTCCCTAAACTCGTAAATCGATCGTTTAGGTCCTCAAACTTGTTCATCTGTATCATCTCGGTCCCTAAACTTGTTCGGCTGTATCATCCCGGTCCCTAAACTTTCAAATCGACCATTTAGGTCCTGAAACTTGTTCGGTTGTGTCATCCCGGTCCCTAAACTTGGTTTTGAGTCTCATCTGGGTCAAAACATGGTGATCTAAATACTTTATATCAAAAAATAATTCATAACGTTTACATATAAACTCGAATGAAGACAAACTTTATATCAAAATTGAAGCCCTCGACGCGATCTACGACTTTGTAGTTGAAAAGTTTTTGAATTAAAACTGTTTAGGGTCCCAAAATATTATTATATGTTTATAGATTTTGAAATTCGAAATTTAAAATTAAATTTTGGGACACTAAATCACTTCAAACAAAAAACTTTTCAACTACAAAGATGTAGATCGTATTGAGAACTATAACTTTCATATATACCATATCAACATCCAAGATTGTTTGATAATTTTAAATTTCAAATTTCAAAATTTTGGAATTTGAAATTTGAAATTTAAAATTAACAAACAATATTGGATATTGATATGGTCTATATAAAAGTTATAGTTCTCGATACGATCTACAACTTTGTAGTTGAATAGTTTTTTGTTTGAAGTAATTTATTGTCCCAAAATTTAATTTTAAATTTCGAATTTCAAAATCTATAAACATACAATAATATTTTGGGACCCTAAACAGTTTTAATTCAAAAACTTTTCAACTACAAAGTCGTAGATCGCGTCAAGGGCTTCAATTTTGATATAAAGTTTGTCTTCATTCGAGTTCATATGTAAACGTTATGAATTATTTTTTGATATAAAGTATTTAGATCACCCTGTTTTGACCCATATGAGACTCAAAACCAAGTTTAGGGACCGGAATGACACAACTGAGGAAGTTTGAGGATCTAAACGATCGATTTGCAAGTTTAGGGATCGGGATGACACAGCCGAACAAGTTTAGGGACCGAGATGACACAGATGAACAAGTTTGAGGACATAAACGGTCGATTTGTAAGTTTAGGGACCGGGATGACATAGCGGTACAAGTTTAGGGACCGCTGGTGCACTTTACTCTATTTAAATTTTACAGAATTTCACAAAATTTTGAACACACACACAAGTATTGGCATGTGTACGTTGCTAGTTAGGAGAATCATATGTTGTTTACTTGCATGTCCTTGATGACGACGCAGAGGTAGCTAAGGTAAATTTGTAAAACAATGTTTGCCAAAATGCCCATTTTTTGGAAACATAAATACTTCACCATGCATGTAGCTTCACACCACCAACACCAAGCTAGCCATCTTCTGCTCTGCCTGGCATGTCTCTTCCGACAGCTTCCACACTCCTACTCCATGCCTTCCTCCTCACCCTTCTCCTCGCCGTCACGGTCTCCGCCGCAACATCCATATCCATCCCGGTGGAACATGGCGATGTGGACACGACGACGTTTACCAACAGCTCGGCGACGACGTCCCCTGATGACAAGGAGAACTTCGAGATGACTTCTGCTTCCTCTGCTCGGGGCGCGACCCGCTGCTGATTCACCACTGCCCCATCTACTGGGACGAGTGCCACATCATCTGCGACGATGACATGCCCACCTCCACCACCGTCGATGCCGCCATTCCCATGGCAACTGCGCCCCCCGCACCACCAGTGTCGTCGTCGTCGTCGTCGCTAGGGTCGTCGGCCCACCCCATGGTGCAGGGCGATGACTGCTACGTCATGAAGCTCTACATGTCCGGCCGCTACGTCATCGTCGAACACCGGCCATGCAAGTACATCGCCTGGTGCTTCCTCACCTGCGGCGGCGGGGAACTGGCCAACCGCCGGAAAGTCACCATGGGCAGCACTACGACCACAGTGTCGGCGACGATCCAGGGGAGCTTTCTGCCTGCTGTCGAGCTATGCGGCACGCAGGTCAATGCTCCGTGGGCTCCACCATCAGCAGGCGTCGTCGTCCCAGCTGGTGGAGCACACCGACGGCGCGCGCTAGCTGCAGTAGCTGAGCTCCGCGTGCGGTGCCTGCGTGCGCGAGTGTGGTTCAGGTCACGTACTCGAGTGCGATCGATAATCTGTGTGGGTTCAGTTTTTGTTTTAATGGCTGTTATTATGCGCCTTCGATTCATCAAAACTTGAGTGTATCACTTCTGATTGCTAAATTTTGGCATCCAAGCCAAAGAATTTTGGCATCCAAGCCGTTCGTCCGTTCGTCTCCGCGTCTTCTGGCCGCAATCCGTGTCACTGTTTGCGAAACTTCTTCTGCATTTGTGTGTGCTGAAAATTGTTCTTGTACTGAAACTCCATGTTTGTGCTGAAAAATGGACCTACAGGCCGCTATGACTGAAACAATATGTGAGATTGATATCTTGCCAAATAGTATCAGACAGGCTAACGCCCGGACGTCCGGCCCTAAGCCCGCGTCCGGACACTGCTCCCCGCGCGCCTGCTCCGTGCCGCTCGCTCGGGTTCCGCGCCACTCGAATGACTCGCGCCCCACCCACGCCGTCCGTTGCTCCCCGCGCCTACTTCGTGTCGCACGCCCCGCTTGCTCAGGTTACGTGCCACTCGAACGAGTCGCGCCCCACCCACGCCGTCCGAACATCACTAGCATAGAGAAGAGGAGATACCGAGGCAAAGCAGCAGAAGGCGAGAAGAGAGATGCAATACCCGATTTACTTTTGAAACATCCAGATACAACACTTGCAACATACGTATGAATGCAGATGAAACGTTTGAAACATGCATCTGAAACACTTAAAAAAACACATGAAACACTTGAAAACTATTACAACATATACGCAATCTAGATAAAACATTTGCAACATATGAAACAAATGCAACATCCAGATAAACACACTTGTAAACATACGTTTGAAAAATAGATGAAACATTGGAAACAAACGTTTGCAACATAAGTGTACAACCATTGCAACATATGTAACACCTCGATCTACTTTTGTAACATACATACGAAGTCCTTGCAACATACCTCTAAAACAACTGAAACACTTGAAACATACGCTTGGAACATGTGCTTTCAGCACAATGTCACCTCGCTACTTGGACAAATGGAGCTCGTCGTTGTGGAGCTCGATGCCACAGAGTCAAAGGAGGTCGCGCGGTGCCCGTGATGGACCACCAGCGGAAGAAGGCCCTGGCGCGGATGTCATCGAGGCCTGAGATGCGGCGGTCGTTGAGGCAGCCCGTGAGGCGGTCGTTGATGGCGGCGAGGTGGCTCCCCACGGGCAGCACGATGCGGCAGCTGGAGCAGAGATCGACGATGAAGTCCCCGGAGTCGGCGTTGAGCGTGTAGGCACGCACGTTGGCTGGGAACAGGCCACGCGGAAAGCCCTGGAGGCGGAGCTCGTCGTACTCGGTGGTGGTGGGCGGTGACGAGGTGGAGTCCATGCAGGCGAGCCGAAGCAGGAGC